TGGAACAGTGGTGGTTATAAAGTCTTACAGCTTCCGGGGGGAAGGATCTGTGACGGCGGATGTGTGTGCCTCTTGTTTGTGATATCCTTTCAGCGAATGGCAGCAGAGAACAGGTGAAGTGGGTTTTGGTGACTTGAGGTTTGACTCTTGTTCACTTAGATCCTCCTCCCCCATCCATCTCATTGCACCTCCTGCCTGTCTTGGTGTGTTCCAGAGATGAGGAGCAGAGCTGCTAGAGACCCTGCTTCTCTTCTCTGGAATGTCCGCCCCAATTTTAAAATCACTATATAGAGTGGGGGCTATATAGTGGACTTAAGTGCACTCAATTAACCAACTGTTAGGACAGGCTTCCACAGTTTCTGACCATTGATGTACATTGTACTTGTTCAAACTGCATTGTGAGGATTTTTTTAAATATAACTTTTTTAGGCTCTACTGGCCCTTATGTTTGTTACTTTTGAAATGAGGCAGACAGAAAATGAGAATAGAGAGAGGGGAAAGACATTGGGCAAAGGGCAAAGGTCACCATGCTGCATAGGGGACCACAGCTTCTATTCATGGGTCTCACGCTTAAGCCCTGGACCAACACCACACCCTGCATTGTGAGAAATTTTGCTCCCACTTTTTTTTCCATCCGCTAGACATTCGGACACTCCTTCAAAATGGCGTGACCCCTATATAGTGCTCTATAACAGTGTTTAGTTTGAACATTCAGACACAGACATGTACTTGGAATATTAGTCCAGAAGAGCTAGTAGAGCCCGATTTCTAAGGCGAGACTAATGGTGTAAGCTCCAACACCAGGGGTAACCAATTAAAAATCAGCAGGGTCCGAATAAAGAAAATGAAACACCAGTAAAGTAGGGAAGGAACGGTTTATGAAAACCGTCTGAACCGTTCGGTTCAACTGTCTCGGTTCACGTGTGTTTCGTTCGGTTCATGCGCTGCTCCTTTTTCTCATAGGCGAAGCGTTTACACTCCAGAGCAGAAGGTGGCGGTGCTGCGACAAAAGCCAACCACCAGTAGTAAATAAGAAGAAGAAGCGAAGCAGCGTAGCCGGGTGTAGCAGAAAAAAATCAGTTGTTGTGGAGAATTGTGTAGGAATGGCGAGTGGGAAAGAACAGGAGTTGGAAGACACGCCAGCAGCACTTTATTGGTCTGCTGTATGGGACCGCTTTGCATTTAGAGTGACCTACGATGACGGCGGAAAGAAAGTTGTGGGTAAAAGTGCAACAGTGTGCAAGCATTGTGCAACACGGTTTGTTTATGCTAACATCAACATGTCATGCTAACCCCGAAATCCCACATACTCCGTCAACGCTCCGCCCCGCTGCGCTCCAGACCGCCTGCACAAAGCAAAGCCTACAGCCTCCGCTGTGGCTCCCGTCCGCTCCGCTCTGAGTTCCTTGGAGATCGTAGAGGGCATGCGCGAGATGATTAAATTCAAAGCAGGAAAACATGCGGAAATGATCCAGGGTTTCTGCGGATCAATAAAAATAATTACAATTCACTAATTTCTGGGGATCTTTTTCATTAATTTTATAATTTTTTATGGGATTTCGGGGTAACAATCAACATATACCGAACCGAACCAAAAACCGTGACCACGAAACTGTGAACCGAACCAAACTGTGGATTTTGCGAACAGTTCCACCCCTACAGTAAAGGTCCGGAGACATTTTTAATTATAATCTGTTACTTTAAACAGAATTTAACACTGAAATAAAATTAGGTTTTATGCATCCATGTTATACATTGAATGTTTAAATAAAAAATTCAAAAAGGCCATTCCCACACCTGCTGTCGAACCAGCACAGGGGCTGGGGTGTTTACATATGTGATATATCAGCTGGGGCTTGATGGAGATTTACTTCTGATCCATAAATTTTAAAATTCAACATTTTGCTGTTAAATTGCCAACTTTAAGTACATATGGTTGTAGTTTTCTTTTACATTAACATTCTACCTGTAAGGACTTGCGTATTGCACTCCAGTTTGTTTCTTGGATGATTAAAAGGGAGACAAGTAATTGTTATCGTACATGATGGCAAGAGTGGGGACAGCTGGAGGTCATATGGATGGGGTTTACAATTTCACAGTCAAACAGACGTTTTCCCAGCACTGGAAGTTTTTCCTCATTTCTCCAGTGTAGTTCATGCTGTATAGTTCTGTTGCAGACCTGATGTACAGTTTAAATTATTGATGTCCTTAATATCTGTATGAGGTTATCTTTACGCTTTGAAAGCACTGTGGGATCTATTGGCTGAGAGGGAGCTAAACCAGCCTCACACAGAGAGAGAGGTAGGTAACCAGAGCAGAAAGGAGCAGGTGTCTGAATTATTGAAAGTGGCTTTATTTGAATCGTTTCTCTTTAGAGTTTAATATCCTCTTTGGGAGTTGCAGCATAGTACAACAGGAATAATGTTTTGCTTTTCTTTTTCCCAGAATGCAGCAGATTTAATACATTTCTACAAGTTTGTGACAAGATGTTTGTCAAATAGCTTCTGCATTCTGGAATTGATGATTTCCACACCTGGCATATTTACACTATGTCTGGAAACTTAAATCAAGTATGGCAAGACATCTACACTCACCGGCCACTTTATTAGGTACCCATGCTAGTAACGGGTTGGACCCCC